GATGTGTTTTGCCATCCTACATATCGTATAAGCTCAGCTGATTTCTCCTGGTGCCACAGACTCTCTCTTCCACGGCTGGCTTGTTCCTCCACTTGCCCACCCCAGGCCAGGCAGCCAGCCCAGACCTGGAAACGGCTGCATCTCTCTGCTCCCCCCCATGAAGGCCTTGTTTCTCTCTGGAATCAGTTCATCAAGTTTTCTTTTGTCTATTGCTCTCCACTAGCCCCATGGACAAGTATATTTATTTTGTACATTTTTTTCTCATTGTTACTATAGGATTGAAAGTCTTTTACATTCTTTTACATCATAACCCAAAGCGGAAGTCCTCTCCTTGGTATTTTAATTTGCATTTCTTAATTATTGGTAAGGTTGAGTATCTTTTAACATGCTTGTTGGTCATTTAAATTTCCTATGCTATTAATTGCCTGTTCATAGCTTCTAGACATTTTTCTATCGAGTTTGTCTTTTTCTTAATGATTTGTAGTAGTTCTTTATGTACTTGGTCCAAATCTCTTATGGATTATAAGCACCGCAAATATTTTTTCTTAATCTATAGGTAGTCCTTTAACTTTATTTGTGGTATATTTTGTTATAGAGTTCTGTTATATATATAGAAAGTTGAGTATATCATAATTTTACAGCTCAGTGAATTTTCATAAACTTAATATACCCACATCAGGAAACAGAACATCACCAGCATGCCCTCTTCTAATCATTGCTCGATAAAGGTAGCCATTATCCAGACATCTAAAGATGTGTTGGGAATTCCCTGGCAGTCCAGTTAGGACTCCGCACTTTCACTGCCAAGGGCCTAGTTCAATCCCTGATCAGGGAAATAAGATCCTGCAAAGTTGTGCAGCCAAAAAATAAAACTGTTAATTTTTAAAATTGAATATTTTAATTGTGGATTCATATGCAGTTGTAAGAAATAATACAGAGAGATCTTATGTGCCCTTTATCCAGTTCCCCCCAGTGGTAACAGAGTAAAACTATAGCACAGCATCCAACTAGGATATTGACATTGATACAGTCAAGATAGGGAATATTTCCATCACCACAAGGATCCCTCATAGTGCCTTTTATAACCACATCCACTTCCCCTCCCTCCCCCTCTTCCTCCCCATCCCAACGTACCCGATCTTTAACCCCCAGCAACTGTTGTTCTGTTCTCTTTTCAATAATTTTGTCCTTTCAAAGAGGTTTTTTTTTTTTTTTTTTTTTTGCGGTACGCGGGCCTCTCACTGTTGTGGCCTCTCCCATTGCGGAGCACAGGCTTCGGATGCGCAGGCTCAGCAGCCATGGCTCACGGGCCCAGCCGCCCCGCGGCATGTGGGATCTTCCCGGACCGGGGCACGAATCCGTGTCCCCTGCATCGGCAGGCGGACTCTCAACCACTGCGCCATCAGGGAAGCCCCAAAGAGTTTTTATAATGGAATCACACATTATATACTAACCTTTTGGGACTGGCCTTTTTCACTCAGCAACTTCGCTAGAGATATATTCAGGTTGTTGAGTGCATTAACAGTTCATTCCTTTTTATTGCTGACTAGTATTCCAGGGAACGGATATACCGCCATGCGTTTAACCACCTACCTATTGAAAGACATCTGGGTTTTCTTCCAGTCTGGGGCTATGATGAATAAAGCTGTTATGAACATTCAAGTACAGGTTTGTGTGTTAGTTTTCATTTCACTGGGGTAAATGCCCAGGAGTACAATTGCTGGGTTATACGGTAGTTGCATGCTTAGTTTTTGAAGAAACCGCCGAATTATTTTCCAAGGTGGCTGCACCACTTTATATTCCCATCAGCAACGTATGAGTGATTTGGTTTCTCTGTGTCCTTTCCAGCAGCTGTTGTTGTCGGAGTTTTTTATTTTAGCCATTCTGATACTTGTGTACTGCTATATCATTGCGGTTTTAATTTGTACTTCCCTAATGGTAAACGATGTTGAACATCTTTCCACGTGCTCACTTGTCATCTGTATATCCTCTTTGGTGAAATATCTGTTCACGTCTTTTGCCCATTTTCTAATTGGATTTTCTTTTTAGTGTTGAGTTTTGAGAATTCTTTATGTATTCTAGATAGTAGTCCTTCGTCAAATATGTGGTTGCAAATATTTTCTCCTAGGCTGTACCTTGCCTTTTCATTGACTTAACAGAGTCCTTTAAAGAGCAGAAATCGTTAATTTTGAAGGTGTCCAATTTATCAGTTTTCCCTTTTATGGACCATGCTCGTAGTGTCAAATCTAAAAATTCGTTGCCTAGCTCTTAGATCCCAAAGATTTTCCTCTATGTTTTATAATTTTACATTTTACACTTAAGTTTGTGATCCATTTTGAGTTAAAGTATAAAGTACTTTATACTTTATATAAAGTATGAGGTTTAAGCCTAGGTTCATTTTTTGCATGTGCATATCCAATTCTCCAGCACCATTTATTGAAAAGGCTATTCTTCCTCCATTGAATTGCTTTTGTTCATTTGTCAAAATTCAGTTGGGCAGGGACTTCCCTGGTGGTCCAGCAGTTAAGACTCCACGCTCCCAGTGCAGGGGGCCCAGGTTTGATCCCTGGTCAGGGAACTAGATCCCGCATGCTGCAACCAAGGGCCTGCACACAGCCAAATGAATAATTTTTAAAAATTCAGTTGGGCATATTTGTTTGTTGTTGGTTGGTTGGTTGTTCTCTTGGTATCTCTTTCTCTGTGAATACCACACAGTCTTGATTATTGTAGCTACATAATGTTTTGAAATTGGTTAGACTGATTTACCCCACTTTATTCTTCTTTTCAAAATTGTTTTAGATATTCTAGTTCTAATATCTTTGCCTTTCCACATACATTTTAGAATTATCTATATCTACAAAAAAATCTTACTGGGATTTTGATCCCAGGAATCGCATTAAGTCTGCACACCAGTTTGGGAAGAATTGACATCTCTACTCTGCTGAGTCTTCCAATCCATGAACATGGTAGGGCTCTCAATTTATCTAGACCTTCTCTGAATTTTTGCATCAGCATTTTGCAGTTTTTAGTACCTAAGTCCTGCACATGTTTTGTTAGATTTGCACCTAAATATTCCTTTTTTTAAAAGTAATAGTTGTAAATTGTATTTTTAATTTCAGAGTTCATGTGTTCATTGATAGTATGTAGAAATATAACTGATTTGTATGTTCATCTTATATCCTGTGATCTCACTGTACTTACCTATTAGTTCATGAAGTGTTTTTTAGATTCCGTGGGAATTTTTACACAGTCATCTGCAAAAAGGGACAGTTTTCTTTCTTCCTTTCTGATCTATGTCCCTTTTATTGACTTACTGCACTGGTTAGAACTTCTAGTGACATGTTGAATAAGAGTTGTAAGAGCGGACACCCTTGCTTTCTTCCAGTGTTCTTCACATATTCTTCAAATGTGTTCTTAATTACTCATTGAAACATTTTTATGATGGCTGCTTTAAAATATTTGTCAGATCATTCTAACACATGTGCCATTTTGGCATTGGTATCTATTGATTTTTTTTAACATTTTTATTGGAGTATAATTGCTTTACAATGGTGTGTTAGTTTCTGCTTTATAACAAAGTGAATCAGTTATACATATACATATGTTCCCATATCTCTTCCCTCTTGGGTATCTATTGATTTTTCTTAGTCACATTGAGATTTTCCTGATTCTTGGTATGACAAGTGATTTTCAGTTGAAACCTGAACATTTGGGGTATTATGCCATAGAACTCTGGATCTTGTTTAAACCTCTTTTAGGTGACATTTTCTGACATCACTCCGGCCAGGGAAGGGGGCATGGTACCACCTCATTACTACCATAGAGTGTAGAATTCCAGGTTCCCCACTTGACCTCCATTGACACTTGAGGGTGAAGGGGGTTCCTTCTTACTGCTGGGTGGAATAGGAGCTCTGGTTCCACTAGGCCTCTGCTGATACCACCTTGGCCGGGAGGGTTAGGAGTTCCTTGCTACTGCTCCCTACCTGACTCACATGAACACCACAGGAAGTGCAGCCTCATTACCACTGGGTGGTATTGAAAGTCCTGACTCTCCACTAGGCCTCCGTTGATATCAGCCCAAGGGAGAGGGGTGCCTCCTTACTTCCAGGTGGGGGTGGAAGCCCAGGCACATGATCTCCACTGACACAGCAGGGGTGGGCACCTCACTACCACCTGTTAGGGATGAAAGTCCCGGCTACGTCTTTGACCTTCTCTGACACCAGCCTAGCCAGGGGTCTTGGGGGATATTGGGTACCTTGTTACAACCTGGTGGGAAGTCTAGATTCCCCACTCAGCCTTTGCTAGCATAAGTGAGGGTGGGCCACAGATTTGTTTCTGCCGGGGTTGGCCAGAGTAGAGAAGTTATTGTCTTAAGTGTTCCTTTCCTGATTTTGTCAGCTGGAGAGAGCAGGCTTTTGCTGGAGGGTTTTTTTTGTCTGTGCCCATTGGTGTTTCAGACTTGCTAGCTTCTTCATCTCCACATCTGGGATCTATGAGGCAAAAACATACCCCAGGGAATTCACCACGTGCTGTTCCATGGGTCCTGAGGTCCTTAGCCGATCTGCCTTCTTCTGTCCACCTTTCAGGGTCTTCTTATACTTGTTTTATATCTTATGTCCTGGGGTTTTAGTTGTCCTGGTAGGAGGAAGAGGGAAAAGTATATCCATTCCATCTTCTCAGATGAGTGACAGAAAGGGGGATTTGCAAAAACGTATCATTTAGTATAAAGATTAGCCATGGCATATGTAAAGCAACCAGACCATGAAAGGCACTGAAGACAATGATTGCTATTATTTTTCAATGATCCAAAGATTCTATCGTTCTCAATTTGATTATTTTGTTTCACGCTATGATGCTAAATTCTAAAATTCAGTAATTCTATGTTTTGGCATTTCCACGTATGGAACTTGACCCTTCTTCCTTTCCCTTTTTTCCTATCCCTGGACTGTCCTAGGGAAATAGTTGATTCTGAGCAAGTGTTCCATTGCCATGTCTTGCAGAGAGCAGAGAGCATCAATCCGGTTCAAGACCACTCTTATGAATACCCTCATGGATGTCCTTCACCACAGGCCAGGATGGGTGGAAGTAAAGGAGTAAGAAGCCCTCACCCTCAGCCTTGTCTCTCCTTCCCTTTGTCTCACAGGTCCTTGTCTCCCTTCGTTTTTGTCCCAGCTCCCTTGGGTGGCCACTGGGACTTGTCCCAATTTGGCTGTGACAGGGGCCGACATTTATTTAGCATTCACAATGTGTTAGGTGCATTACTGATGCCATCTCTGTCTTATTTAAGCCTTATAACCATCCAGAAAGATGTGATTATGTTCAGAAATATTAAGCCAATTGTTTAAGGTCACACAGCACGTAAGTGTCAGAGTGGGATTCAAACCCAGTTCAGTTTGACTATTCCACAGCCAGTGTCCTATAGCTCTCTATGCAACCATCACAGACCTGTGGGGTGAATCCTCCGGTGATGGCAGGTCCTGGCCACTTACTAGTTCTGTGACCTTGGACAAGTTTTTTGACCCCTAAGCCTACATTTCTTCTTCTATGCTTGGCCCTGGGGATACTGAGATGAAAAAGCAAACAATCCCTGGCACGTAGTAGGTGTTAATATTAGTGAAGGTTAAGGTTTGGATGCATGTAACAGAGACACAAAATAAAAGGGGCTTTGACAGACTAGAAGTTTATTTACCCCTCCCATTGAAGTCCAGATGTAGGAGGTTCAAAGATGGTATGGAAATGTGGGACCCATCTGCTTCCGTCTTTCCACTCTGCTGTCCTTTGAGTGAGGCCCTCATCCTCATGGTCTGAGGTGGAGTTCCTGTACATTCCAAGCAGCAGGAGGTAGGAAGGAGACAAGAAAAGGCATGTCCTACCCTTGAAGGACACAACCCAGAAGTCCCTCACATTTCACTGGCCAGAACTTAGCCATGTGGACACACCTAGCTGCAAGGGAATCTGAAAAATGTAGACTACATTTTCCAGGTAAATGTTGGAAATTCTATGACTGTAGAAAAAGGAGAGAATAGATATGAGGGGTGAAGGCAACCAGCTACCCTGCCAGGATCCTCAATAAATACTTGTTGCATAACAACAACTAAGCCTCCTAGACACTCTTCCACACTTTACACGCATGACCTCTTTGAATCATCCCAGCAAACCTTCCAGTAGGTGCTATTATCATCCCCATTTTCCTGATGAAAAAACTGGACAAAAAGAGGAAAAATATACCATGTTGGAAAGTGTTGGAATATACCATCTTGTCAGGGCTTGAGCTAGGGTTTTCACCTAGTCTGGCTGTCTGCAGAGTCCCAGGTTCATCCTCCCTGTTCTAGCAGCCTCTCAGTAATTGAAGGAACAAATGAGTGAATAGGTGAATCCATGCTTCCTGCTGCCTGGTGCTGGAGTCTAGCAGAGGAGACAGACCCTTACTAAATCATCCCACAAAAAAATTAGGAGTTGGCTGACGGTGGCAAGCGTGGTATGGGGAATCCAAGATGGCAGAGTCCTCTCTCCGGCACTTTGGGGAGTATTACAGTGATGGTGATGATGGTGATGGTGGTGATGGTGGTGATGACGGCAGCTACTGTGGATTTTCCTTCTTGGTTCTCTCATGTATCACACTAATATCAGAATGAGTTTTCCTTCCCTGGATCCAGAAGAACTGGATGTAGTGGCGGATGAGGCAGGGGAGGTGACCAGCCGGTGTATGGGAGAAGGCACTGTCCTGACCTGCCATGTGATCTGAGGCTGCCCCCTATTTCTCCTCAGCCTTGCTCCATGGTCAAGTGGAAGAAGGGCTGAGGGTTTGTCTGGTGCTGATGGTGTGGGAGTCCATGAAGCAGGTTGTTTCCTGGCTGATCCCACATTGCCTCGAGAGTCCTCAAGTCAGGAAAGGCTAGAGGCCAGGGCCTTTACACCAGACATGGCTCTGTGAATGTGAGACCTTTTCCTTAGGACCTAAGCTGGGGTCTGGTATTTCCAGATAGAACGAGGTCCCAATTCAGACCATCAGCCTGTTAGGTCAGAGTTTGGAACAGATGTGGCCAGAGCTGTCCCCTCCCTTGCTTCCCACAAAGAAAGCTGTCCTTGATGCCCGGAACTGCAGCAACCATCTTGTGACCTTGAGGTGATGAGCATGAAGACAACGTGTTAAGGATGGCAGAATGAGAAGGTAGAAAGAACCTGGATTTCCTGTTGGCCTTGTTGAGCAGTTTAATGTCTTCCTGGGTGATTTAAGAGCAACTTGACTGTGATAATCATGAAGATGGTGTACAAAATGAACAAACTTGTGGAATTAGAAAAGAATCCAAAATCCACATCATGGTCTACAAGGCCCTGTTTGTTGGGCCCTACTCCAGTTTCAGTGTCATCCCTTACGTTTCTCCCTCCACTCTGGCTTTTTTTTCATATCCTTGAATGAGCCCTTTCCAACCTCAGGGCCTCAGTTCCTGCCCTTCCCACTCCTGGAACCCTCTCCCCACTGCCCTTGATCTGGCTGTCCCTCCTTACCATTCAGATATAAGCTGAAAGGTCAGCTCCACAGGGTAGCCTCCACCTAAACAGGTTCCTCAGCTGCCCTGCCTCATGGCCTCCAACTGGGTTATTCCAACTGGGTTATAACATTTCACAATTCCTCATTAGAGAGTTGTGTATTTGTTTCCTTGTTTATTTTTTATCTTCCCCACAGGACTGTATGTACCACCTAGCCAGGTGTTTTTGTTCCCCCTATATCCTTGCATCCAACATTGTCTCTGACACCAAGACAGCCTCAACACCTATGTGTTATATGAATGAATGAATACTTCATTATTCACTCATTCATCCACTATTCATTCAACTAAAACAAAAGGTGGGTTAAAAAAAAAAAAGCAAATTGTGAAAGGAAATAGACAAGAGTAGCTCTAACCACGGAGCTTGGAATCTGGAGCCCGATGGCCTGAGTTCCAGTCCTGCTCTGCCACGTACTAGCTTATGAACTTAGGTGAGTTCCTTAAACTCTCTGTGCCTCACTTCACTCATCTTTAAAATGGGCATAATAAAAGAACCTAACACTTAACAGTTACTGTGAGGATTAATGAGTTAATATTTGTAAAGTACTTAGAACAGTGTCTGGCACATGGGAAGCAGAAGTAAGTATTAGCCATTAGAAAGTTTTAAGAACATGCCAAACAATGCCATGTGCCACATATGGATACGCACATATATACACAGTAAAACTATAAAGACACTCATAGAAATGATTCCAAATTCAGTCTAATGGCTTCCTTTTGGACAGGAGAGTAGGAGATAGAATCAGTCAGGAATATACGCGGGGCTTCAGTTATATCTGTAATTTTTTACTAAAAAATTTGGAAGTAATCATGGTTGTGCGTTTCATTTCCTGTCAAGTCTTTTTGAAGCACCTCCTCTGTGTACTCCAGCTCTGGTATCTGGATTTGGTAGATCAGTCTGGTTTCCTGTCCCCCTCTCTGGCAAGGTGGTGAAGAACAGGGTCAGAACTTGGAGTCGGGCAGGCTTGGGTGTGAATCCTGAGGCTGCCATGTCCTCACTGAGCAAGGCTGTCCCTCTCTAAGGGATCCAGGCATGATCGTAGTCACTTTTGGGGCTGCTCTGAGGATTCAGTGAGAGGAGGGCTTTCTGAACTGGGAAGAGCTTATAAATGTTGCCTGGTAGTGTGGGCTCAGGGGTGGCTACTTGGATGCTTCCAGAGCTCAGGCAGGTAACATGACCAGGTAAGGTTGGCCCGTTGTCATGGGCCATAGGGCACGGTGGGGACTGTGATCTGGAGAGGGTGTGCCCTGTCTAAGGCGGTGGGTGCCGATGGGCATCTGGGCTCAACGTGGCCAGATCTGCTGATTGTTTGAAGGAAACCAGTAGCCTGGATTTTTGCAGGGACATTTCTGTAGTTTTCACTCTGGCCTCACAAAGTACATGGTGGGCAGCGACAGCCCGAGGCCACCTCCTTGAGACTTACCTGATGGACACACCGCTGCTTACCCCTCAGCTGCACCTCCCTGGGCCCCAGATCCCCAGCAGTGCTGAGGTCCTCAGGTCATGACTTTTGTCCCACCCCCACCCCCAGTGAAGGGGAGTGGGATTTCTACTGGTGCGATGTCAGCTGGCTCCGGGAGAATTTCGACCACACCTACATGGATGAGCACGTGCGGATCAGTCACTTCCGAAACCACTACGAGGTGAGCTGGGTGGGCCCAGGGGACTGGGTGTGGCAATGAGCAGGAGCTGGCTTGGGGGTACAAGGACCAGAATGGAAAAGTACAAGGGAATTTGGGGTATATGCCAGGTGAGAGATATGTGCCCTAGATTCATGATGAGCTAAATAGTGTGAGGGAATAGGGATCTCAGACCTGAGGAACCGCCCACCTTGGGGAGGGGACTGAGGTCATGGGCCGTCTGACTTCAGGTGTGAAGGCTAAAGAAGCAGGATGCTTGAGGGATTATGTGATTTCAGGGTGAGGCAAGTTGAGCTGTTTGGCGTCTGGAGATGGGAGGGAGCTCTGGGAGGAACCATACCATAAAGATGGGACTCGAGGGGCCAGTGGTGGGAGATTTAAAAAGTTCAGTGCAGCTTAGCAGTTAGAAAAAGAATTTTGGCATCAGACAGGCTGGGTCAAACCCTGGCTGTGCTGCCTGTTAGCTGGATAGCTCTGGGCAACTGACAACCTTTCTGAGCCTCAGTTTCCTCACCTGTAAAGTGGGGATAATTATAGAATAGCAGGCTCTCAGTCAAAGTTACTCTTACTGTTGCTCTTTTTTTTTAAATCCTTTTTTTTTTTAAGATTTATTTTTATTTATTTATTTTGGCTGGGCCGGGTCTTAGTTGAGGCACGTGGGATCTTCGTTGTGGCGTGTGGGATCTTTTAGTTGCAGCATGCGGGCTTCTTAGTTGCAGCATGCAGCATCTAGTTCCCTGACCAGGGACTGAACCCAGGCACCCTGCATTGGGAGCACAGAGTCCTTCCCACTGGACCACCAGGGGAGTCCCTCTTATTGTTACTTCTACCGTACAGAGAATGGGGGCTGTGGGGGGCAGTTGGTGGGGTGGTTGGAGGGGGGCAGTTGGTGGGACGGTTGGTGCAGGGCAGTGGGCATGAGCGCCAATGGCCTTCCTGTCCATCGTGCTGCTCAGCTGACCCGCAAGAACTACATGGTGAAGAACCTGAAGCGCTTCCGGAAACAGCTGGAGCGCGAGGCGGGAAAGCTGGAGGCAGCCAAGTGCGACTTCTTCCCCAAAACCTTTGAGATGCCCTGCGAGTACCATCTGTTTGTGGAGGAGTTTCGCAAAAACCCAGGAATCACCTGGATCATGAAGCCTGTGAGTACCCAGTGCTGGGGACTGGGGAGAGGGGGTGTCCCAGGGACCAGAGCAGGGATCCTCCATTGACACAGGAGTCTGCCAATGGAGAAGGACAGGACTCTGCCTGGGAATTCAGCCTTAGATGCACCATCTGCCTTTCCCTAAAGCAGGGGTCCCCAACTCCCGGTCCGGAACCTGTTAGGAAGCAGACGCACAGCAGGAGGTGAGCGGCGGGCGAGGGAGTGAAGCTTCATCTGCCGCTCCCCATCGCTCCCCATCACTCCCCATCTCTCCCCATCACTCCCCATCGCTCCCCATCTCTCCCCATCACTCCCCATCACTCCCCATCTCTCCCCATCGCTCCCCATCGCTCCCCATCTCTCCCCATCTCTCCCCATCGCTCCCCATCGCTCCCCATCGCTCCCCATCGCTCCCCATCTCTCCCCATTGCTCCCCATCACTCCCCATCGCTCCCCATCACTCCCCATCACTCCCCATCACTCCATCTACTGCTCCCCATCTCTCCCCATCGCTGCCCATTGCTCCATCTCCCGCTCCCCATCTCTCCCCATCGCCCCCCATCACTCCCCATCACTCCCCATCGCTCCATCTGCTGCTACTTGTTGCTCCCCATCGCTCGCCTTACTGCCTGAACCACCCCCACTCTCACCCCTGTCCGTGGGAAAAATTGTCTTCCACAAAACTGGTCCCTGGTGCCAAAAAGGTTGGGGACCACTGCCCTAAAGGACTGACTACATCTCCTCCTCTCTGCAGTGTGTGGACTCAGCACCTATGACTGCTGGTACACAGTAGATGCTCAATAAATATTCACTAGATAAACAAGTGATCCTCAGGACACCAAGGCAGGGAATCCAGAGTCTCTCTTCCTGATATGAATGAAAACAATGGCCAGGCTGTGAGAAGTGCTTTACTTGCATTGCCCCACTTCTTGTAATGGTCCTTGGGAGGAGGTATTACCAGCCCCATTTTAAAGATGAGGAGCCTGAGACCTATTTATTCAAGCATCCCACAAATGCTTATTGAGCACTTGCCATGTGCCAGGTACAGAACTAGATGGTGGGGATACAGCTCTCAGCAAGTCAGACGTGGGTCTCTGCCCTCCTTGAGGGCAGACAATATGCAGAGGATACACGTGTGATTATAGCTGTGCTAAGTGTCAATAAGGAGAATGGTGCCGGCAGAGGAAACAGCAGGAGGATTTCCCCCAGCCCTTCAGCAGGCTTCTTGGAAGAAGTGAGAGACTGGGCTCTGAGACCAAACCCCTTGGTTCAAATATTAGCTGTACCACCTACTGTGTGACCTCAGGCAGATTACTTAACTACTCTGTGTCCCGGTTTCCCCATCTGCAAAGTGAGAATAACTATAGCACCTATCACATAATGTTGCGTGACTAAATGGGTTAACACAGGTACAGCACATATTAGGTCCTCAATGAATGACAGTTGCTGTTGTTATAAGAATTAGTATTGAAAAACAAACAAACAAAAGAAAACAAATAAATTTTTAAAAAAGGATTAGTATTGAGCTTCAACCTGAAGGATGCAGAGGAGTCAGCCTGGAGAAGGGCAGAGGTAGGGAAGAGCATTCCAGGAAGAGGGAACTGCATGACCAAAGGCCTTGCATCTGGAGGAAGCCCTAGATCAAGAAACTGAGTGGCGGGCAAGGGTACCAGAGCACCTGCCGGCCCCTCAGCCCTTCCTCGTGCCAGGACTGGCTCTCACCACAATGCCACCATAGCCTTGAATGGCATCATCAAAGCCCCCCTAGTATTTTCTGGGATTGGAAATGTGCTTGGCCCCAGGAAGGGAGTTGGGGGGTAAGGTAGGAGGGGCAGCCCCCCTTGTGGAGCTGGAGATGGGCTAGTGTTGGCTGATGCAGATTTAGCCAATAGCACAGGTGAGTGGAGGGGGAGACTGGCAAGAACACCAAGTGCTCCCAAAGAGGACAGAGCCAGGATTTACCCAGGCCTCCTGAAGCCTCACTGGAAGGCTCGGCCCCCTTCCCAGGAAGGCGGGAAGGCCAGCGAGGAGGGCTCAGAAGGGTGTTAGGCGGATGAACACTGCAACCCACCGGGCGGATCCCAATTCCCACCATTATCTCCTCAGACAAACGGTAATTTGTGCAAATTGGGAACAAGCAATTGCATATTACGTTGATTCCTTTCCCAGCCCCCGCCTTTGTTAGCAGCAGAGACAGCTGTAATTAAGAGGAGGAATCTTGGCTCCGTGTGTGTGTGTGTGTGTGTGTGTGTGTGTGTGTGTGTGTCCTCTCTCCTGAATCGCTGAGGCGCCCTGTCTGGCGTGGAGAGTGAGTGCTTCTAGTTAGAAGCCTGGTTCTGATTCTGATCCGCCACTTATGAACTGTGTGATCCTGAGCAGGTTACTAAACCCCTCTCAGTCCATTTCCTCGTCTGTAAAACGGCCTTAATGGGTACACCCGCCTTACAGGGTTGTGAGAGGGTTCAGTGACGTTACACGGGTTGTATACATGAATTATACAAGCTGTATAAAGGGCTTGGCACTTAGGTGCCCAATAATTAACCGTTTTTATTGTTATCACCGAGAGTCCAGACAACACTGCCTCTTCCCCCTGCCCCTGGGGAGCACTAGGTCAGTGCTTCCCAAATTTTAACGTGCTCACAAATCATCAGGGATCTGGTTAAAATGCAGAGCCCCTTTCAGCAGGTCTGGGTGGGGCCTGAGAGTCTGCATTGCTAACCACCTCCCAGTGATGCCACTGGGGCTGGTCCACAGACAACACTTTGAGTAGTGAGAATATAGAGGGGCAGTTCTCAAACTTGAGAATTTTCTGGAAAGCTTATTAAAGCACACACCCCCAGAGTGTTGGATTCAGTAGGCCTGGTGTGGGGCCTGAGAATATGCATTTCTAACAAATTCCCAGGTGCAGCAGTCAGGGATCTCCATGGAAATGGAACCGTTAGTGTGTGTATAAGGAATTGGCTGTGTGATATTGCGGGGGCTGGTAAGTCTGAAATCTGTGAGGGCAGAAAACTCAGGCAGGATTTCTCTGTTACAGTCTTGAGGCAGAATTGCTTTCTTTTTCCAGAAGCCTCAAGTTTTGCTCTTAAGCCCTCACCTGATTGGATGAAGCTCGCCCACATCATCCAGACTGATATCTTTTATTTAAAGCCTGCTGATTTTAGATGTTAATCACCTCTATAAAATACCTTAACAGCAACATCTAGACGAGCATTTGACCAAACAAGTGGGCACCATTGCCCAGCCAGGTTGACACATGCAATTAACCATCATACCAGGTTATGAGGATGCTACTGGTCTGGGTACCACACTCTGAGAACCACTGGGCTAGATCATTAGCTCTGGGATCCTGTTGTTTGGATTCCTTTGGTGTGGGGAAATGTTAAAAAAGAAAACATGTTCACGTAGTTCACATAGTTGCAGTGGCCGGGCCAGTTGGGGCAGCCACCCGCCTGCCTTTCCCCTCAGATGTCTCCTCTGCCCTGTTCCCCAGGGCCTGCGAGCCTCCATCTTCCTCCCCAGTGACGGCAGAGCAGTCCTAGAAAGAGGGGTTTGAGTTGGACTCAGAAAGGAGCAGGCAGCATCAGTCTTACTTGATGATTTGGGAGGAAAATACTCTGTCCAAAGTGCAGGATGGTAAGAGCCGAGTTTTAACATTCTCTTACACGGGTTTACCCCAACCAGAGCTTCTCACACCTTTTCACTGAAATCTCCTAGGAGTTGAGATGTTTTGGATGCAGATAACAGAAAACCCAGTTCACAGTAGCTCGAACAAGAAGGCAGGGGTTCTGAACTGTTCTCTTTGGCATCTGGTGTAACGTGTGGACCCCATCACAGAATAGCGTTTTTAAAAGCATAACATAAAGTATGTTTGATTATAAAAGAAAGCAACTGTATTGAAAAACAGTTACAAGCTGTGTTTGTCTGGCTCCTCTGAGAAACACATGCCAAGACAAGATTTAACAGGCCAGAGTTTGGCCTGTGAGACGAGGGGGAGGGAGCCTGTGGAGGCTAAGGGAGCTGTCACCCCACCAAGGCCAATCCCAGTGAGGGAGAGAGGGAAGGAAGGGTGGGCGAAGTCTCCTAATTCCCTGTGGCCTGACGGAAGTTCAACGAGGCCTGTGGAGGCCTCAAGCCCGAGTCGCTGTCAGGAGTGCCCTGTCTCCCAGGAGTGGGCCAGCCTTCGGGTCCTTGCATCCGCATCGATGGCCTGGCAAGCTGGGCTGGATTTCTGCCACAGCAGCTGGTGCTCTGTCAGCTACTCTCCTGCAGTCAGAGGCCTGCGGGTACTTCTCACGGGGCCACCACAAATATTAACACATTCTTTATGCTGTAGGAATATATGTTCTTTTCATTAACAATTAAAGAGAGTCTAACAGCAGGCCCAACCGTTACCGTAATTTCAAGGTCATAATGAATATAACCAGTATTTGGAGATAGATACCGACAACAGTTGTAATGTGATACGAAAATAACGGGTTTTTTTTTTTTGAGCACAAAGTCACAGGCCTGGCTAATACTACTAGGATTTCTTGCCTGCTTTCATAATGGAAGGAAATGTGAAAATCTGGTCAGGGATTAATGAAAATAAAGATGAAAAGTTTTTTCTCATTCAAGCTTACAGACCCCAGGGAATTTCCTTTAATGATGAAAGGTCAACTCCAGGGCTGGTTCAGTGGGCAGTTCAACACTGTCACCAATTCCCAGCTCAGTGGGCTGACTGCTCCTCTCAGTCACAACAAGGCTGCTGCAGCTCTAACTCACCTCCTCACATCTCCACCTGCCGCAAGAATAAGGGAATACCCTGGTCTTGTGGCCCTTTTGAGGAAGACACAAATTCCCAGAAGTCCCTGCAACAGACTTCCCCTCGCATCCTGCTGGCTCATGCCTGAACCAATCACATGGCAGGGACATGGGACCACTGTGAGGGCTCAGACACCCCCAGAGGGTGGGGCTACTGGAAAGAGGAGATCCAAATGGGGCTCTGTTGGCAGGGAA